ATCGTGGGGGGTACACTAACAAGGGGTACTATTTGCGCAAATTACGGTACTCTTTATTAAACTAATATGGGACAACTATCGACTCGGGGGTTAGCAGGAATATTTATACTATTGGTATTCGATAAAAATATAAAGATATTGATAATGGTACTATTGCTAATATAGATAGTTATCGTAAGATAACTAAGGTAATAAAGATATCAAATACTGTATAATGAATCGCAAATTCTAAAATAAGATTATGTACAACTGCCGAGTAATCATGCTGATATCATATGATTTGGGACATTTGTGACTGAGAGGTCAAGTGACAATATCGAAGGTAATTTAGTAATTACGATAATAAAGATCGTCTGTTGGTAAATAATGAATTTTCTTTCAAGTTATTCATTGATAAATCATTAAAAAATTTGTTGCAAGACTTGCTATTATAATAACACAGCATGTGATTAACGGTCGTGATTTCTATCAGGTTACTTCAAAAACTTTTAATACAAATATGTAGTAGAGATTGAGTTAGTTTGTATTGGTGATTTACACCCAATATTTGGTTGAGCATGGAAAATTTTGATACAAAACTTATCGACACAATGTGTAGTTAATATTTACATTAAGAAACATTGTGATTATCAAATAATCTGGACGGCAAAAATCCGACTGAAAATTATTGAAAATTGAAAATTCTAGAAATCGGCGATCTAAATCTATAGTGGAATAACAATTTTTCTTGATATTTGTTAACGCATTCACCATTTTTAATAGTTTTTTTGTTTTATTTTCAGTTATAATGGTGAAAGAGCAAGCACACCACCACCACCAATCATAACAAAGAGAGTAAACTTTATACAACGATTTTAAATCTGTGAAACATTCAATTGGCTTTTTTAGCCATTTTTTGTTTTCAACTAGAACATGATCATGCAGGCGGCTTCGCCGCCTGTATGTATAGAGGCTAATTGTACTTTCATATTTAAAATAATTCGAATAAAATGATAAAGTGTAACTTGATAGTAAAGATTCACAACTTGAATTTCAAATACTCAATTTATAAATTTTTATTTTACTTATATATGTCATAAGTGAAAATGGAATTGATACATAAATGACCTATCTATTTTAACTGGTGTAAATAAAACAAAGTTAATGAAGTTGTACAAGAATTCACGAATTTAACGAATTAGGCTCTTCGCAAATTAATTTATATGAAATGAATACTTAATTGAGTAAAATTAACGTAAATAAAATGGGTACGTGTTATTTCACCGACAGCTTAGCTCACTCAAAGATAAGTTCATTTCACTGACAATTAACTTACCGACAAGTTCATTTCATGGATAATTATTTTACTGAAGCTCATTTCATCGATAAGTTTTTTTTATAAATTATACTAACCTTAACTATAATTATTGTTCATTTTATATGATCAGTGAATTTTTTGCCTTGATATTTTTGTCAAGAAATGACATCAATACATCACGGAAAAAACATCACACGGCCATATAATACAAACAATAATATCGATATTGGTCATACGAAAACAACAGGAAAATTTTTTAATTGAGTTAATATTACTCATGTGCTGCTACGCAGCACATGGAAGTGACATTAACTCTGATGAAAAAAATGTCTAATATCTTATAATTCTAACTTTACACTAACAACAATGACCAGAATTACTTTGTCGGTGAAATGAGCTGTCAGTGAAATAATTGTCTGTGAAATGAACTTGCCTGTGAATTAATTGTCGGTGAAGGGATTGTTGGCGAAATGCGCACTATTCAATAAAATAAATATTCGATAATTAGTGGGACTCTAGATTTTTAATATATAATAAATACTTAATCGGTTTGATCAGCTCACCAACAAACATTATAGTTACCGACAATTTATTCACAGATAAGGTTTATTTGGGATCCGATCATCCGATTAACTCATCGATAATCACTTCATAGACACCTTTTCATTGACAATTACTTACCGACAGTTCATTTCACTGACAGTTTATTTCACAAAAGCTCATTTTACAGACAAAGTAATTCTGGTCAATCTCATTAGAATTAGAGTTAAAGATAGTGTAATTTATAAAAAAAAGCTTGTCAGTGAAATCAACTTGTCGATGAATAATTGTCGGTGATGTGGTGCCTATGAAATGGATGTCGGTGAATAATACGGATCCGGTTTATTTTACATTCACAGACAAGTTCATTTCTTAGCAACATATTTTACCAACAGCCCACTTCACACTAACCTTAAGTGGTATGCCTTTTATTCCAACGATCATGACCAGAATTGCTTTGTATGTGAAATGAGCTGTTGTAAAAATATACTGTCCATGAAATAAACTTGTCTTTGAATTTATAATCGGTAAAATAATTTGTTTTAATTAATTGTCGTGAACATCTATTAACTGATTATTATCAGTGAAATAATAAGAATAAATTGAATAATGAGCGATAATATCAGTGAATAAATCAAATATCTATAAGATATTTGGGGCCGCGGAAGCGGCCCCAAACCATCTCACAGATACTTGATTTATCATTGATTTTTAATATCATACCAATATATTTTTTTACCTACTTTAAGATAATTTATTTCTATCAGTTTTGTCTATTATTAATTAAAGCCTAAAAATGACGAAATGCAAAAATTGATGAAACTAATGAAAAGTAATGAAACTGATGAAAGGTGACAAAACTGACAAAAGCTTAGACCAATGTATTCAAAAAATATGTACTGTACTAGGTTTTTTGCACGATAATAAACCCGCAATAAACAGGTATGAGTTAAATTGGTTTATTTGCGTAAAATAAAATGAGGCTTATAGAACGGGATCCATTCAATTCTTTCAGCCTCATAGTATAATACAAATTACATGTTTGCTTAGGTTTAGTCACATTTCATGGTCACGAAATTAAATCGAAATTGAAGATCAACAAATCTCTTCTAAAGAACTTTGACAATCTATGATTATCAAATAATCAACCCGGCAAAAAAAATCTGAGAAAAAAAAGATGAAAATTGTAAGTCCAAAAAATAATATAAAAATTCATGTTGAAATCCTCATATATGTTAAATTTATTGCATATTTTAGTATAATTTATTATTGTTATTACGATACGGTTTTGATTTTTTTTTTTTTTTCCTTTCTCGCAATAAATGAACATGGTCATGATCATGATATAACTATATAAAAATGGCGGAAGTGAAATTTCCATTTTAGGGTATTGCGAGGAAATTGTTTTCGACGATCCCTGCAGTATAGAGATACAACATACCTAAAACAGTAAGGGCATATCCATACGCGGCGAGGACAGTACAACATATCGATATATCACATTATACAATCAAGCAGTTCGCTAATAACGTGATTATAACGTGAAAGCCAATCAATCAAATATTGAGAATGATTTCGTCAAAACGCCATTTTTAAAATAAGATACTTAAAGGTTTTTGACGTTAAGTGAAAAAATCTAGATGGTATATAAATTTGAAATAACAAAAATTTTTATTATAATAAAGAATACTGGTTATATTGTAAGATATAATGTTAGCTTAGAAGTGAAAACTGTCTTTTTTTACAAAACCTATAGATCGTTATAAATTATTTATGTGCTGCAACTTGTAGATCCCTTAATTAAATCATTACCCTGAAAATTTCCCTTGACCGCTATGGTTAATTATATCACTTAAATTTAAAAGCTACGTCTTGTACAAGGATTGGAGAGCAACGAAGCACGTGGTTTAGCCTCTGATGTAATATTGTAAGTAATCTTAAAAGTGCGTTTAAAAGGATAGATTATGATAGTCTTCTTTCTTTCCATTAAGATCTTTTTTCTTGCAAAAAATCCAATGTTTACCATAGTATTTTCAACCACAATACATGACTCAAGTAACCAATAGAACTATCCACATTGTGCCTTCCAATTCAATCGTTACATCAATAAACGTTACTATCAACTACTGTTCGTTCCAGAACATGTTCATTTTCTAATAAAAAAATTTTTTAACAAAGTCTTGCGCACGAATAGAATTCATTTTGAAGTTTATCTACCACATACTATAAATATTTGTTTAGTTCCCATATCCACCCTTTGGGAGTGTTTATTTTTATTTTTTTTGTATATAAACAAGTTATGCATATAAATTATACAACTCTGTTTACAATTAGTAAAAACGAACATGTTTTATATTAATATTTAAAAAACAATAAAATTAAGCGAACAAATCTTATAAGCACCTTGTCAAGAACTGTATTTTCATTTGTTGGTAGATATTGGCACACAAAATAAATACTATAAAAGTTAAAAATATAAAGATTATTACAATCAACATTCAAATGCTGCTTGGCAATGCAATAAGAAAATTTAGTGATATTACCTGTTATAAATAACTCAATTGTTTATGTACAAGAAGTCAACAACGTTCGTGCAAATGCATAGTAGCCGTACTACAACATAAAATTATGATTCGTTTAATTCGTGAAACTGGTTTTCCCTAACATAGAAATGATATAATGTGTTTGATTATACACAAAATCATAAATGTTGCCTTATAAGGTTCTTTTTGTATACTATGGTTTGTATTTATTTCTTTTTTGCCCTAGTTTAAAAATAATATAATGCTTTGGATTCTATTTTAACGTTACATTACTGAGCAATTTAAATCATATATATTGCCTTATTAGGACTTTAATCACTGTGTTCCAGCACCTAACAAGGTGTGTACTACTAATACGTATTTGTTTGTTGTATATCAGATATGCATTCTATTATTAGAAATGACTTTTTTGTCATTTTCTACAGAATCATCTTTTGTATTCTATTTATGTTCAAACACATGCATAAAGAATTTAGTGGAATTTTTATTGATGCTATGTCCATGGGAAATATATAAAGACTCGCAACAGAGATTTCTCCACAACTCGTTCCCATTTCATACTTGATTAAAATTAAATAAGTAAAATAAAGAATTAGATATCAAATAATTAATAATAAACCATGGCATCTTTTAAGAAAATTTTCATTACTTTAATCGCCATTATTTCCTTTTTATCATACTTTACCGCTGCTGGATTAGTTCCTAGATCCGAAAAATGTGGTTGTGCTTTGAAAAAATTCTGTGAAAGTTTAGAGAAAGGAAAGATTGAGTGTATGTGCTCCGAGTTTGAAGCACTTTTAAGTGATGAGAAATGTTGTGATCCGTTTCAAACAGAAAAAGTCAAAGAAATCCTTGAAATTCTCGAAACCTTACCTGTATGCGATAAAGAAGAGGTAGGCAATAGGATATTATTATTTATATTACTCAATGACGTACCATAATATTAACATTTATTTGTTGTAGTCTGTTACTGATTATGAAGATATTGCTTCTCAACTTCAGGGAACATGTGATGAATGTAAAGCTCATGAGCATTAAAGGTGGGAGACAGTTAGAATATTGATATAGATATACAATAATTACCTTGTGCTTTTATTACTTAGTAATTTTAATAACATTGTTTCTGATCTATTTAACTTTGCAAACTAATCACCTCTATAGTTAAGATTTATTGGATTTTTTAATCATGTCATCATATATCTTTTTTTGGTTTGTAAGTAATATAAGCATCAACTTTCATTTAAATATAGATCTTTTTTTTTTTAATATAAATAAAGTTCGTCCTTAATCAAGTTGATCTCTTTAAATATTGATATTTTGATAAGTGTTTTTATTCGATTAAAATTTTAATTTTATAATTAACTTTATTTACCATGTCATTCGAATTATCTACATTGTATTTTGATTACCTCATTGAATTTCCTATGTTATTAGTATAAAGCAAAAAGTCTACCCATACAATCGACAAATTATATAGCTACTGGTCAAGCGATAACCTATTTCCTTCCAGTCAAGCTGCAAGCGTATGATGTAACTATTAGTCAAGTAGCCAATCAGAATCGTCATGATATTCGTTTTTACAAAGGCCATTCTCAAACAGCGCCATCGATGTGATTTTCTAGTGATCGAAGTTTTGCTCTATCATTTCAAATAGTAGAAATATAATTGAAATGACTTTTATAACAATTTTGTCGAATTCTTTGTATGAAATACAGATTTTAATTTCAGCAATCGGAGTGATTCTGCGAAAAAATGATGTTTGTTAGGACCAGATTTATTGACAAAAATGATTAAAATAATATTTTTAAGCAATTCTATTCTTGAGTATACTATTCTAGGAATTGGAATCCCGAGAAAATTGGCTGAATAATGATTCATGACCCGTAAAAATTACAATATAGCTTTACTTATACATTTATTGTACAAGAAAGCTGTACCGAATATTTATTCGGTTATGTTGGCTCTAGGCTTTCTGATTTCAATCTTCAAAAGTAGCTTTAGAAACTTCAGGATCTTTTACTTTCTGAATGGAACTTTTGAATAAGATTTACAATGAAGTTTAAAATCCAGGCAGGTATGTTCTAGATATGCTGGCATGTTATTATTTTGTTGCCTGCGATTATTTGTCCTTTTATATCTGTAACAAGAAACACATCGAACAAATGCAGTGAGCTGTGTGAGATGTAATGGTATATGGCAAGTTTAGGAGGATTATTCAAGAATATACCCAGATCTGTTACATTTCATCAATTTTAAAACCAATATTTAGACCCGCGGGTCTTTGTATGGGTGTGTGTTTAATAATTGGAAGATTTTTCTATTTTCATAGAATTTTCATGGTTTTTTCTTATTTGTATACCCTTGGTCTTTTACATTTTACCAAAACTTTATCCTATATTATAGACCTGGGTATAATACATAGTGGTGTGAAACGGGAATGTGAGCGCGTGCCCTCGTGATCTCGGATAATTCCAAATTTAGGTTTACCGGTTAGATTTCTCGATCGGCTAAATCTCCTAGAAAAACCCAGATGTGGATAATGGGGAAATCTGGACAATAAGGATACTTTCAGTAATATGGTGGATATTAACTTTGTTGGTAATCTTGACTATAAGGCCAATTTGGGACTTATTGAGGATTCCATTAATATAGATGATTTCTGGGAATGTAAATAATTGAATTTACAATTATAAATAAAGGCCATTTTGGCCCTTCAGGAAGGATAACTTCCGCCTTTGCTTCATAAATACATTGATATAAACTTAGAAGTATCTCTAATAAAAACATACATGTTATTGAGCTAGTATTCTCCCAAAACTCTGCATGAACACCCACCAAATCTAACATGCCTTTTTCGACACAGCTTAACCTAAATCTTGGTTACACGAAGATATCTTCGTTCAAGCCGAGTTTTAAAAACGTCAGTGGATCTTGTATCCAGCCATTTACGGTAGGTAGAAAAATATAGATTTAGAGCAAACATAGTAAGAGGTTTAGAAAGTGTTAGCTTAGATGAATGATAAAGAAAATAAAGCAGAGAATAGAAAGCAAAGTGGATTGTCATCTGATATTTTAGTAAGTGGTGTATTTTTTTGGGCAGTTAAATTAATGCGGAGTGATAGTAGATCACGTGATCGAAAAGAGAAACAGCCATGTGAAATAATCAAACAGCGTGGGAAGTTCACACGCGGACATGAATAACACATGTCAATGACATACGTGCCGGTGCAAACCAAGAAGAAACAAGAATGGGCGTTGAAGAAGTCAATCGAATATAAGAATCGAAGAATGGCGGGAAATGAACCAGTGTTCGAACCAAAATCCTCGTGACTCACCCTCCCACTCCTAGATTTAGAACACGTGATTCTATTATCACTTCGCTCAGCCAGCTCGCTACGGCGAGCGGGAAACCACCGGCTGCTCCCACAGCGACCCCAGTGCAATCACGGTTGCTACTTTCGCGGGTGCCGGCCAACTGCTCCATTTGCTATTCATGTATTCTGATAATTCTTCAATAATAAATCATCCGGCATAATACAAATGTCGTGTAACGTGATTCTTTTCGATGCTTATAATAAGTAAAATTTTAAGTGAAAGTGTGTAGAAAGTAAGTACTGTATAACGATAATATCCTTGCAGAGTTACCCTAAAAATAGGATAATTTACTCGGGTAACTCAGAATACGTAAACTGGTTAATTATAAAGTTCTATTGTAAAATATTTCATTCAAGTTGATTGCAGTCAACAGATTGAATAAATGGCTAAGCGCAATGCTTACCGGCACGTGAATAACAGCTAAGTATAAATCGTGCACCGCCAACGCAACTCCAGGCAGCGCAGCAAAATTGGCATCGTGAGAAAATAGATTAAAGTACAGACATGGTTTTCTATCAATTTTTGGATCCGATAATTATGAGGTACCGGCAGCAACTGCTTATTTCATTTGTCGGCCGGTGCATATCCCGGTACAATTTATTTGTACATCAATCGCAACTGATGTATCTATTATTTAAATAAAATTAATTTTCGGTACATCACGCCGGATTCATTCCAAAATATATCACATGCAATGCTTTTCGTTTAATGAAAGTTAGTGTATGAAGATCCAGAGTAAAGTTTGTAGATCGATTACGATTAACTTTTACTGTAAAGGTCTTTGAAAAGAGGTTTTTTTTTGTGATTCATTTAGCTGTATGTTATGAGAGTAATATACTTTGTATTAGTGATCAATCACAATAACTATAATCTAGAACAGTTATGGAATACCATTTCACATGACAAATAGTGTAAATTAGTAAAAAAAATTTGTTTTATATAACCATAATACATTTATGTTAACACAAATCTTCGTAGGTAAAGGCAATTCAAATGATTAATTTTGAAAAATGATTTGTCCAAGCTTGCTCGTTAATAGCAAGAAAAAAGCAATATATTTTCAAATAGAATACTAATCTAAAGAAATACTATATGAACCATATTCGGTAACAGCAGTTATTAAAAATAATAACATTAAAGACTAGTCTTGATTGTGGCTTTGAATACACGCAGTAATGTGCTTATTAAATTATTGATCAATAGATCGATGTAAACTAAACTAAGAACCGCAAGTATCGCCAAGAAACACTGTGGTTATTAATTAATCTGGGCGGCAAAAATCCGACCAGGAAATTAGATATAATCCGTGAAACATTCGATTGGTTCAAAATAAGACAAATGTGGCAAAATTAACGTTTCACGATTTAAGAGCTTTGTTCTATTGTGTTAATAATTAACGCATGACAAAGAATTCTGGTTCTTAACATCTACTCGAGAGTTGATAATACAAATACCTGTCATATTTGGGGTCTATTACTTTTTACATGAGCATAAATCCAACTGGTTACTTTGTTTTTTGTGATAGGCTATATGGCTTAAAGCCGATCAACTGAAACTACTGCTATCCAGTGTTGGACGATGATGCCATATAAATGACATGACTTAATATTATAATATAATATGAAGTGTAATATATATAACATAATCTATATCATATGGCATATGATTCATATGATGTAAAAATATCATATGACATTATGATATTGTCATCGTCCAACACTGCGGCTATCTGCCAAAATTTTGGTAATATAAAAAATTATTTATTAAAATCCTACAGAATTAATTTTTCATGGTTTATTATTGTGTATATAGATAAGTAAAGACTTCATTATATTACTTTGTGCGTTTAAGACCAAGGCATCTTTTTGTTGTTATTTTTTTGTTAGTGAACTTACGTTATTCTGACAATTTATTTATATTATAAGAGGAGCTGACTATGTGCGAGTAAATAATTCTATTAACTACAGAACTATGTAAATCAATTATGTATCTGGAAAGAAGACACAATAGTGCTGCGCATTACCTAATTTGGCATTTTGATTGTACATTACCTAATTTGATATCTTGATTGTGTTAAAGCTAGCCTGTTTGCGATATGTATGACGAGTAGGGTTCTAGAACAAATTTTCTTTATAATTAATTGGAATATTTTTTTGACATAAAGTTGTAGGTACTAATCAGGGTCTCGTAAAAATTACGATTTTATTCGAAATTTACTAATTTTTCTGGATTCATGGCACAATATTAATTGCTTCTCAATTGCTAATGTTATAAATCTGCAATTATACATATATATTCTATACCTGCACATTCAATTTCACGCATTTTCAGATAGTTAAAGCAACGTATCACTCTTCTAATTGACATTTGAAACTTCTGACTTCTAAAATTGCTAAACTAACGATAATTTTAAAGCACGATTAAGTCATAATTACGCCTGCGTCACTAATCGGGAGCTTATATAATAATAATAAAATCATAATGTGCATAAAATTACCTTATACATAGTTCATACGTACGTATTCCATTATATTTGATTTATAAAAGGAGGATCTCCGCTGTAAAATCGAAAAAAGTTACCGCATCACCATTCACGATATATGACAGATTTGTTTTAATATATCAACCCTGTGTAAAAACTCTGATTTTAAAAATTACAACATTTTCATTGTTCTAAAGGAAGAAACTGAAAATAATAATAAAATGGAAAAAGAAAGCAAAAATGCTGTTACCCAAATACCCAGCTATTATCCAAAATTTGTAGACGAGTTGACTAAATTCAGAAGATTATGGTGGGATCAGGGAAATTTGCATCCAAAGGCGAATTGGGAAAGTGCATTTTTCATGTTGAGTTCATATAATAATTTAGTTAATACCACTATTATCTGTTATATACAAAGGATTGCCCTATGAATTGATATCTAATGTTAGTTGGGAAAAGTTTGCTGAATGAACTGACAAGCATAATGTGCATGCCAGGTGGGTATAGGATCAAGGAAAAGTTGTTGTATATGAGCTTCCATGTACACCTCATAAATCTGTTCCACCAGTATCACTTTTTTATTGTAAACTGCCTTAAATAGTGCATGGGTACTGACTATAGTATTTCATTCTTAGGAGCAATGAGTATATTTTTTTTCTTTGCCTTTGAATATTTTGATATACTCTTCTGCTCTTATATTTATTATTTATTACTCAAAAGCAATAAAGCAGAAGGAATGGGTAAAGAAGCAGATGGATGTTTACAACCCATAAAAAAACAACAAGTGGCTTCTGATGGGTGTGATGGGCTGGTACAGTTTTTAAAAATTTCTTTCTAATTGCTTATTAAATTTATAACATTATTGTTATCTTCCTTAGAATGAACCTTGGCCAAATTTGGTAGTTGAAATAGCTTATTTAGAAAGCGTAGATCATCTTTTTAACAAAATAAAAAATTATTGGCTTCTATCTAACCGAGTACATGATGCTATCACTATAAAACTAGAGCCTCCCAATGTGCCAAAGAAGATTCCTTCAAGGATGACTGTAAATAATTTATTAAGATTGTAATTTCTTTATAATTATCTCATCATGATTCTTTTATTCCTTATAGTCGTGGCATTTTTGTGTAGATCAAAAAGTTGAAGGAGAACTAGATCCAGAGGTGTGTGTTAATTTTTTTTAGCACATTTATGGATATAGTGAAGTTAAATTATTCTCCATTAAAGGTACATGAATTTGGAACTGTTGACCAGTTTGGTAACTGCCTTAATATTCAACCTGGTCAATATATTATTAAGATTAAATTAGAATGCATATATGCTGGGATTGTGTCTGAATTTGATCTTCCAATATTTTTACCCAATCCAATCACTATTGATCTTTTTAGAGTTCAGAAAGATATTTTAGAGTCCATAATTTCTAGAGATTAAATATGAAAATTTGTGTGATCTTTGTGTTTTTCGATAGATCAATTATGTAATGCCCTTGATCAATATGTAGACAATTTTCTTGATGCATATATTGTTTTTTTTAGAAAATTTTAAGGTTCATATAATGATTTTATTAAAACACTTTCTGATTTCTGCTGTTAATAAAATTAAATGAGATAATAATAAATTGTTGATATATTCATTTATATCAAGAACTTAAATTGTATGGCACATATGAGAAATGCTTAGTATCTATTTTAAAATCATGCCATCTATATGCTATAACCCTCATTTTAATCGAACTCTTCCCGATGATCATTTAAACCAAAAATCCGACTAAATAAAAAAACAAAATTTTTGTTGGAGAGATGTGGCTATGAAGTGGTTTGTCTAGAGGTCAACGTTATTTGCCTTTCGGGACTCCTCTAAAGAGACATTTGGCATGCAA